CTAGCCAGGCGTAGTGTTGCACACTTTTAATCCCAGCACTCGGAAGGCAGAGACAGGTGAAATGGAGGCCAACCTGGTCTACATAATGAGTTCTAGGCCAGTTGGGGATACAGGGAGATTCTCTCTCTCTCTCTCTCTCTCTCTCTCTCTCTCTCTCTGTGTGTGATGTATGTATGTATGTGTGTATGTATGTAAACATGAATGCAGTAATAGAGGAAGCCAGAGGCATCAGGTTCCCTGGAGCTGCAGTCACAAACGTTTGTGAGCTGCCCAACATGGGTGCTGGGAACTGAACTCTGGTCCTCTACAAGAGCACTATGAGCTCTTAACCACTGAGCTATCTCTCCAGCCCCTCCCCACAAAAGTATTTCTCTTAGTGAGAAATATTAACATGAGTAACATTTGGCCTGGATTGCTGTTTCTCAAATACTAGCTGCATTATGTATTGCTCCAAACATTTTGTAATGTATTAGTCTCATCCTCAGAACAAACCCATGCAATTTTGCTATTATTCATCTCTGCTTTAGAATGAGAGGGCACTGAAGGCGGGAGACAGCTACCCAGGGTTGGGGCCCACCTCAGACCGAAGATGGCAAGCAGAGCAAACCCCCTTGGCCTCAGGACTCATCTCCTATTGGGTTCTTTCCTGATCCCCAAAGTCCCCAGAAAGCAGTGTGGCCTGTCACATAAATAGCCCCTCATTCCCAGGGAGAATGCTGCAGAGGCTGAGAACCTAGGGACTCAATCCCCACTGGAAGGAGGAGAGGAACAAGGCCTTGGTCTGCTCACTAGAGACAGTCTGTATTTTACTCCCCTTCTTTACCTGTAGGCTATTTTCTGACATGGATGAATTAATAGGCAGAAAAGAATTTAAAAGACAAAAGTAGCCCCCATTTTTCCTTCAGACATGGAAACACACTTTCAAGAGTATAAAAAACTTAAGTTCCACAAAACCCCTCTGTTAAATTATAGGAAACAAAGCCAGGCGTGCTTAATCCCAGCACTTGGGAGGCAGAGGCAGGCAAATCTCTGAGTTCAAGGCCATCCTGGTCTACATAGTGAGTTCCAGGCCAGCTGGTGCACAGGGAGACCTTGTCTCCAAAAGACCAAAACAACAACAACAAAAAATTTATAGGAAACAGCCACATCACTAACAATTTGCTTTTCCCCAACAATGCCTCTCCCCAGCTGCAGCCCTCTTTCTTGATCATGCAGATGTGGCTTAGGCTGGACTCCAGATGAGCCCCAGGGTCTAGGAGAGTCTCTTTCTGTGCATTCAGAGACCTACTGCCTTCCAGTGGCTCGTTCTTCGGATATGTTTGGGATCTGTGGGAATGTGGTGTATCCAGGCAAGCACAGCACACTGCTCCCTGGGAGCACGTAGAGCTCGCATGTTCAGACAGGGACAAGTGACCACAGGCCCCAGAAGCCAGAAGGGAGCAGGACCTGGGTTCCTGCTAGCAGCGCCAGCCCTCCCCATCCACCCACCCCCACCAC